ACTTTTGATCTCTTCCTCACCAAATCTATACTACACATGCTGCCAAAGTTATGCTCCTAAACCACTTAAGTTAATGCTTGTTTGAGTAATTATTTGGGACACAGAAAAATCTAAGTTCCCTAGTCTGGCTTTCAGACCATTCTTCAATTTGGAATCAACCTATTCTCTCACATGGGTTTCTTCCCATTTATAAGAATGTAAGATACTCTACATAACTCTGGCTTTACCTCAACACATATTATGAGGGTTTTCAAGTTCTTTTTCCTCTAAGCAAAGAATTTTAGGGTTTCATACAATTTATGACAGTACTTTATTTTTTTGGTGGGACTGGGGTCTGAACTCAAGGCTTCATGCTCACAAAGCAGGCAGTCTACCACTTGAACCACATCTATAGTCCATTTTGCTCTGGTTATTTGGAGATTTAGGGGTGGGGGGGGTTTCAAAAACTATTTGCCTAGGCTAGCCTGATCTCAGCCTCCAAAGTAACTAGGATTACAGACATGAGTCACCGGTGCCTGGCCTATGATGATAACACTTTATTACAACGATCTGAGTATATGTATGTATATATCCTCATTCTACAACTTTAATTCCTTTTATAATTCACATGGTACTTCAAGAGTTTTATACAGAGTAAATGTCCAAATTTTATTTTTTCATTTTTTAATTTTTGTGGCCCTGGGGATTGAACTCAGGACCTTGCACATTCTAAACATGCTTTCTACCACTGAGCTATACTCCTAGCCACCTGTTTAAGGATTTTGAAGAAAACTGAAATGAATTAGCTAGTGATGATTTTATGAAATAAATTTATTTATTGAGGTACTAGGGACTGAACCCTGGGCCTTGTACATGCTAGGCAAGTGCTCTACCACTGAGCTACACCCCTAGCCCCCAAATTCAATTTTTTTGAGACCATATGGCAGCCCATCTGTTTTCAGGGCAAGCTGAAAGAAGGTCTCAGAAAAATGAAAGGTTTAGATGTAACATTTTTGTTTCTAGAAGTAGTTAAGTTCCATAAAAACACTATGGAAGGGCCAAGGTACTCAGTGGTAGAGTACCTGCTTAGCATGCATGAGACTTTGGGTTTGGTTCTCGAGTATTGTCAAACAAAACTAAAATCCAATAGCAGATATTACCCAGATATACTCATGAAGAATGACAATAAAATTCTAAAGCAACAGAACCTATTTGCTAAAGCAGGAAATTTAGAATCTTTTTACTCAACTATAGTACATATAGAGAAGAACATTATGCATATAGCTTAACATGCATAATATAGTTTTTAATAATCAATTAATATAAACACAGAGAGCCACTATCCAGATCAAGAAATAGTAACAAATGGGGGGCAGGAGGGAGAAATGGCCCAAACAATGTATGCACATATGAATACATGAATTAAAATAAAAGAAGAAGAAACAGTAACAAATGGCTAGGCACAGTGGCTCACACCTGTAATCCCAGCTACTTGACAAGTAGAGATGGGGGATCATAATTTGAGCCCAGCCCAGGCAAAAAGTTTGTAAGACTGCATTTCAACAAAAGAAGCCTGACATGGTGGCACACATCTGTCATCCCAGCTACAAGGAAAGGATATGTTGAAGGACTGCAGTCTGAGTTTGGTCCCAGTCAAATTGCAAGACCCTATCTGAAAAATAACCTAAAGCAAAAATGGCTGGAAGTGTGGCTCAAGCAGTAGAGCATTTAGAAAGCAAAAGGCCTTGAGTTCAAACCCCAGTTCTGTCCTCCCCCCCCAAAGTAACATACAACAGAGGACATATTATATTGGTTGTCATGGCTTACAAAGCATCTGTAATTAAAGTACTGTGGTATTACAGTACTTTACAAAGATAGCCACAGAGTAAAGTTCCTCTAACGTATTTTTCTTAAGTTTCTTAGATATGCTTTGCATTTCTTAAAAAACATTATAATCAGCTTGCCAATTTACAGAAAAATAACAAGAGTTTTGACTAATGTTTACTCTGTTAAATAGAAATATAACTGTTATATATATGTTGATCTATGCAGCAACTCTGCTATACTCTCTTATTTTGGAGAGTTATCCCTTTCTTTTTGTAGTTCAATAAATTTTTGCTTTATATATTTCAATCTGTTATTAGGTATATATTTGGACTTCAATCTATCAAAAATGCTTACTATTTCTTCCACCTGTTCTATAGTCCTTGCTTGCTTTTTTTTGGATTGGCTTTTTAAAAAATATTTAATTTTTACTTCCTTCTATTAGCTTGATAGTTATATGCTCTTGTAGTGCATACCATAAAGATTATAATATAAATCCTTATTTGTTAAAGTTCTATATAAATTTGCATTTTTGCTTTTTCCAGGGCAATGAAAAACCCTTAGGATAATTAAGTTTCAATTCCTCCACATCTGATTTGTAGATCATTATCTTTTAGTTTTCTCAGTATATTTCAAATTTCTGAAGACATTATCAATATTGTTTAGTAATGTCAATCTTGAGTTAAATATACCCATATATTTACTCTTTTCTTACTCTTCGTCCCTTCATCTCTGGATTTCCTTCTAATTCCATTCCTCTGTACGAAGAATGTCTTTTAGACTCTCCTTTAGAGCATTCTGCTGGTGGCAAATTCTGTTTCTGTTCTTCTGCAAATATCTTTATTTTTATATTGCTCATGGGATATTTTAGTACAGAATCTTCTGCTGGGGGCTTGGGGTTTGGCTCAAGTGGTAGAGCATCTGCCTAGCAAGCACAAAGCTCAGTTCAAACTCAAAAAAAAAAAAAATCCTCTGCTAGCATTTCCTTTAGCACTTTAGATTACTTCTCAATGACAGCATGAAATCAGTCTTCTTAGGACTTCTTTGTGCTGGACATTTTTCACTGGCCTATTTATCAGTTTTGTTAGTTTTCTCTTAAACAAGTTCTTAATCTCAGTTTGCTTCTGATGCTGGGGACTGAACTCAGGGTCTTGCACTTCCTAGGCAAGCGCTCTACCACTTGAGCCATACCATCAGCCCTAACTTCACATTTTTTTTCTTTTAAAATAATTCTAGAATTTCCACTTGGCTCTTCCTCAGTTCCCAACTCTGTCAACATCATCAAACTTGGTTGTTTATTTCTTTGACCACATTAATTTTGGATTAAAGTACATGTTAATAATTCCATTAAATACTCTGTAGACCAGTTTTCTTGCTTGCCTGTGTTTTTGATTATATTAACTTATGTCCTCACATATCTGATTACTATTTTTCTTTTTTTTGGTGGTACTGGAGTTTGAACTCATGGCCTCATACTTGCTGTACAGTCACTCTACCTCTTGAACTACTCCAACAGCCCTAATTACTTTTGATTGAGTACTAGACTTTTTACATAACAAAAATATACATGTAATGTTAAGCCTAGGATTTTATTTTCCTCCAGACTTAAGTTTGCTTCCACAGCCATTAGGAATTCTAGGCAGAAATAAGACTCTAAGCACCTTACATGTACTAGCACGGTGCTGAAAAATGTGCATGCTTTATTTCATTTATTCCTCAAAAAAGCTTTATAAGATAGTGCTATTATTATCATCCCCACTTACAGTTGAATAAATTGAAGTTTGGAAATTTGCCTGATATCACAGGTATTAATATTGGAGTACATTCCAACCCAGTTATTCTCTGAATATTCTAAATATTCCCTATTTCTTCTCATGACAGGAACCTCTGTATATTGTTTTTTTTCCTTCAGTGTTGGGGATTAAACCCAGGACCCTGCACCACTAAGCCCTCTAGTGGTAGAGGCAAGTCCTTTACTACTGATGTACAACTCCTGCCCTGCATATTCTTCAGTATTAAAGGATGGAATTATACCTATCATTATACCTGACACTGGGCCACTAGGCATGCTATGAGTTATGTCCTGCATGTAAATAGGCAGGTCACAATAGAAAACAAGGCTGATAAGTCCAGAAACAAAGTTAACATTTGCACTCACATGCACTGACTGATCTTATGTAGGCAAATTTTGTAGGCATAAATATAAATAATGCAATATCTGTCTAAACTGAGCCATTTGTTTTTGGAGTGAAGTTGTCCTACACACACACACATATTTATCCAGAATAGAACCTCTAAATACTGTACAGTATATTGTTTGTCTTAGCTATGCCACCTAGTGGAGGCCAAATATAGACACACTTAGGAAAAATAAGTTCGGGAAGAGTGATTTTAAACCTCTTATAGATTATAGTTTTTAGAGAATGTGATGAATATCACAGGCATTTTTTTTTTTTGCCAGAAAAAAAATGCCTATTTGTACAGACCATTTCTGACCATTACAATTACCAGAAACCAACTACCTAGTGGTCCAACTATCCTTAAGCCACAGACAGAATAAATTCACTTTTCTTTCATTGACTTACTAGATGGCCATGACTTTTCTTTCATAAACACTATTTAACTTTTCTTTTTTAGCTAAATATGTAATCTGTACAAACTACTAGACTTATACTGATCTCAAATCCATTTACAAATTTGATGGCAGCCCAAACTAACCATTTTTTTCTGCTGGTGTTCATTAAATGTAATGTGGATCCAAAAAATACTAACTCTTCCTTGTAATGTTTAAAGAACAGACGAGGACTTTCAGGGCATTAGAATTTTAAGTTAGAACCTTTCAGTTATATCTATAAATAAATGAAATTGCTTACTGATAAAATGAAAAATCAAGGCAACTCTTACAATTTAAGTATATAGTATTTTCGGAAATACAATAATTTTTTAGGTGACCATTTAGTGTATCATCAACTATAATTAAACACTTCTAAAAAGGTAACTTCCACTAGGCAACGGTTATAAGCAAGAGAATCATTATTCCAAAACCTACAAGGAAAAAAATTTTCTGACTGAACTAATTTAAATAAACAACCTAATTCATTTAATTGTTTGGTCTTCTTTTCTTTTTAAATCTTTGGCTCTAAAGAAAAGTCAAAACAAAATTCTAAATTCTACACTTAGTACTGTTACAAAATACAAAGGTTATTTAAATTCAAATCTTAGAATTTTAACTTCTGAAGAAAAAGCACCAATAAAAAGAAAATCTTTCATTTTTGCTCATTAAATTTATTCTTACCAGATAAAGCAGAAAGGTGTGCAGCCCTGTTCCCAGCCCAACAGAGGATAAAATTCCCAAGCCTATCCAGTAGGCATACAAAAGAAATTGTTTCTCTATACGTTGCACATACTGAAAAACAAAAAGGATGAAGTGAAAACCTGAATTCTACAGACATGTGCTATGTACACACTACCACCATAACAACAGGAATAAGTTCCAATTAGGTAGGAAGTTAAAATTAGGTAGAAGACTAAAAACTCCTTGAAGAAGAGGCCTAATTTTTTAGTATTCCATAGCAAAGATGACAAAATATTTACCTAACTGGAAAAAAGATGACAGGAAAAAAGCAAATTACTAGCAAGCTAATTACAAGAATGAAAAATTAAAGCTATTTAAAACTTATAAAACTTTAAGAAAACAATACACAGCGGTAAGAAAGGGATAATTATATAATATTTGTGAACAAAAATACATTTTTGATTAAGTAACAAATGGGAATTAAATATTTGAGGCTGAACAACTTTATTTTCCCAACAGTAATGCACTTACAGTCAACAGGCAGATGAACTTGTTTTTTCATACAAATAAAACCAAACCCTGAACCTAGGACAAGTCCTGTCTATCTGGATGGATCATAAAAATACATTATAAATAACACAAAAACGTTGGCAGAGATGAAAGGATTCATGCTGTCTTGACTAAAGAAAGTCAAGAAAATTACATTTAAATCTTTGCAGGTAAAAAGAAATCATAATACAAATATAATGCTGAGCAGTCATGAAGCAGTGTAACAATATTTTTACTGTTATGGCCTTACACGACATTGAGATATCAGTTATTAGATAAATTAAAAATACAAAACTAAGGCTTAAAATACCGAGGATAGAAATTCTGTAAAACTCACCTATGTCCTATTTGAAACTTTTGGGGACAACAGAACGTGGAACACCAGAAATAGACTCTCTAGATCTCTTACCTGTTGATGTGCTCCTTCAACATAATACGTAGCTATAAGCACAGCAAGCAGCAGCAAAAAAGACACCACAATGCTTTGACGATGCCATAATCTTAAAAAAAATTAAAGAATAAAAATAAAATAGCACATTTACATCACTTTCAGGATTTACCATCCTGAAAACAATTTGTTGAAGCAGACTTGGGGGTGCAGAAAGGGCTCAAGGGAAGAGACACAGCAAGATAAACCCCATCAAAGCCTTTTCCTTCCCCAGAGGAAGGAAATTCTAATTTGGAGAGGAATGATAGTATAACAGAAAAAGCGATGACTTTCAAATCAAAGGATCTGGCATACAGATCCTTAGTGTTGCCCTTTTTTAGCAAGACCCATAGCCAATATGATTTTTTTTTTTTTTTATAGGATGCAGTTTGAACTCAACTTGCAAAGCAGACATTCTACCACTTGAGCCACTCCTCCAATCCATTTTTGCTCTTGTTATTTTGGAGATGGGGGTTTCAAGAACTATTTCCCAGGGTTGGCCTTGAACCATGATCCTCCTGATCTCAGACTCCCAAGTAGCTAGGATTACAGGCATGAGCTACGAAAACCCGGCTTCTGATTTTATTTTTTGCTTTTAAAATCATAATAATCATATATTTGTTTTACTTTCTTCAAAGAGTTGCTGTAGGACTCAAATGTACTGAAGAATGTTAAAAAATGTCTTATAAACTTTAAGCATAATAAAAACATGTATGATAATAGTACAGATAATTTGGAAGGGCAAGCAAGAAAATGATAAGATGTGTGAAAGTTCAACTTGCTCACTACGATATTTGAAACAGGGTTTATAAGTACTAAGTTTAAAGATTGAAACATTTTCATGCAGAGTCCTTTTTCATTGGCTCAAGTTATCAGTACAAGTGCCATGTATCCTGAACCTTGTGCAGGTACAGACTCAATGTATTTAATTACTCAGGCCTCATTTCTCTTGAAGGTAAAACCAGGAGAAAAATCACCATCATATTTTCAGTGTTCTCTCAATATTCAACGTGAGATAGTGGTCAATTCTAACAAACCACTGAGCAAATAACAATGTACTTTTCTTCAAACTAAATTCCTTCATCTATTTCTTTTCAAACTATAGGAAGGAGAATAAATATGCTCCTATGATAACAATCTAAATTTAATCTATTTTATGGAGCAGATGGCAGAGAGTAGGAGATGATTGAGGATTACTAAAATTAGAAAAGGTTTATGTAAAAAGTAGTAAATATTCTTTACTTTGAGGTCCATTCCTTCAAGATTACAAGGGTTTCCAGAGAAAAATACTGCAAGGTAATGAGAGGGTGTCTCCACAGGACAATATTCTGTCTTTCTTCCCGATCCCTCCTCTTCTTTTCATTCATTGAAGAAGGGTCTGAAAAACAATAGCATGGAAGTTAAAACAGTACTCCTAACATTTTATGCTCCCCTTTTCAAACCACTTCAAAAATTTATCCACCCTCCTATCCTACACCTGAAAGACTGCATATAAAATCTCAAAACTAGAAACAACATGATTTACATTTGGGTCATGCAAATTGAAACAGTTCAAGTCTTAAACTGAGATCAACCCTTCTCTACAGAAGGCAATCTCTGGAACACAATTCTAGTTAACATGCACGACCCATTATAAATGTGTTTGAAATGTGTAACAGAAAGTCAAGGATTGTGGTAGATTCCCATAACTTAAGCATCAATGGCACTTCATTTGTCTGTGGATCTGCCTATCTCTTTCCTGTCAATCAGTGGCAACCTTGCAGGGTTTTCCTTTCGGCCATCTCAGAGAGGGATGGTACCATGTATGAGTTCTTAAGAGAGTTTTACCCTTGTGCCAGGTAAACAGCAAGTCCTAATGTCTTAAGAAATGTCAACTAGTCCAAACTCAGAAACACCTACTGGCTCAAAAAGAAATGTATTATAATTGTCACTTTTTTTTTAGTGCTGGGGATTGAACTCAGACCCTAATGCATGCTATTCCTGTGCTCTACCACTAACCTTCATCCTAGTCCTATAGTTACCACTTTTAAATCGGTGTTAGAGAACTGAGGCAAAACAAACAAGAAACTCCTCAAACCAGGCTGCCCATTGCCAATTCAATACCTTCACCTAACATGTAAAAACCTTTTAGAAAGCATGTCCTAAACAAATGGTACTAACTAGAACTACAGATTTTGGGAAATGACAAGTCTCATCTAGGTGCTTATGGCCAATCTTTATATTATTTTTGCAATTATTTTATTGTCAAAATACAAGCTTCTCCTCTTTGGTGGTGCTGGGTATGAACTCAGGGCCTCATGCTGACTAAGCAGGAGCTGTACCACTTAAGTCATGTACCCAGCACTTTCGCTTTAGTTGTTTTTCAGTACAGACCACAGGTACGTACCACCTGTTTGGTTAAGAAGGGAATCTCATGAACTTTTTTCCCTGGGCTGGCCTCAAACCCCGATCTTCACCATCTCCAACAGCTGAGTAGATGGGATTACACCACACCTAGTCATGCTTCTATTCTTGTATATTACTGGAGTAGGTCTAAATTGGTCCACCTTCTATGAAGGGCGTTATATAAACAGCATCATACTATGGGTCAAATTGGTTTAGATTTCCAAGTAGTGGAGGCAAACTACTTGGCTCCAAATCCTGGCTCTGTCATGTGCCATTTAGGTGAGCTTGATCAAATTAATATTTCTGTGTGTCAGTTTTACTTTCTGTAAAATGGGGAACAGTAAGTACTTACTTTTTAGCGCCAGTATAAAGTTGGTACATACAAAGTTCTCAGAAGAGAAACTACCTGGTTAAGATTTGCTATTATTGTCATCATCTATACTTTACCTGTGAAATTTCCATTATGTTGTTCCTTGTTCATTGCTACACGTCTCTGGTCACAATTTTTTCCATTCTCTGCCATTTCATAGATCAGTAATGTTTGAGGAGCTAATGCAGCAAAATAAAATTCAGCAATATGTTACATTCTTCTGCAATGCAGCTGAGAGTGAATAAAACTGAATACAGGAATGGCAATAGTATGTCACATGCTATTTGTGCAGTATGTTTTTATATACATATATATGTTTTGCTTTTGTGACCAAGAGTTGAAGAACAACTCATATAGAAATTCAATAGAATACAACAGAGACAGTTATTCCAGTGACTTTCTAGAGTAAGATTTGGAGGCAACTTGTTCACAGAGTAAGGATGTCAAGAACTAGCACCTGCAAATGTTGATAAGCTATAGGTCTAACATCCTTCTAATTCATAAATTATATCATGCATTTTCAAAGTTGATCTATCATTCTTAATCTCTCATATTCCTTTAAACATTATTAGAGAAAATGGATTACAATAGCAAAGATGTTACAAATGTTGCCTTATAGATCCAAAACCACAGATCAGTTTTATTTAGGAAACAATTCTATTGAATCAAATGGTATGAGCATAGAAGATAAAATTTTAAATGTTTAAAGTATGTTAGCTGTACTTTATATCATACTTCATATTACATGTGTTTTTACTTTATACATTTTTTATTTTTGCAGTGCTGGGAATCAAACCCACAGCCTTACATGCTAGGTATGTGCTATATCGCTGAAATATACACCCAGTCTATTTTTACTTTAAATTATCATAACTAACATGTAAATAATTATTATCCATAAAATACAAGATTGCCTATGATTGTATCATTCTTCAGGTTTTTGTTTTGTTTTTTTTTAGTGGCACTTGGGTTTGAACTTTAGTCCCTTAATTGAACAATATTAACTGAAGACTTTAAATTCGAGGAATCATGATAGACTTCTCCTTAGCTGATTAGAACATGAAATGGTCATGGGTTTTATTAGTTGGTGCTATTTTATTACTTTTTTTTTTTTTTTTGGTGGAACTGGGGTTTGAACTCAGGACTTCAAGCTTTCAAATCAGGCATACAGCTCGAGCCACACCTCCAGCCCACTTTGTTCTGGTTATTTTGGAGATGGATTCTCACCAACTATTTGCCCAGGTTGGCTCTGAACCTTGATCCTCCAGATCTTAGCCTCCCAAGTAGCTAGGATTACAGGCATTGAGTCATGGGTGCTCGGCTAGTTTATTCTTGAATAAACTATTAACACACATACATACACACACATGTATGTTTTTTTGAGGCAGGGTCTAACTATGTAGCTAGGCTGGCTCCCCCAGCTCACTATATAGGCCAGAATGGTCTCAGAGCTTTTGATCCTTCTGCCTTGGTCTCCTGAGTGCAGGGATTATAGGTGTGTACCACCATGCCTGGCTCTTAATTATCAAATAAAAGCATACATTCATTACTTAAACAGAGAGTCTCTTCTTTTAGATACAACCATTTGTGGCCACCTTTGTTTTATTGCCTTGATTTCTCAATGAGCAATAAATAAGCACAGGTTTCCATTAATATAACCTGGAGTAGATTATATGATTTAAATTATGAAAATCTGGATTTGCATCCCAGAGTACTTGTATGATCATGAGCAAGTTTCATTTTCTTTATGCTTTGATGTTCTGGATCCACAAAATGAGGACAATAACTGCCATGCTTACAGGATTGATAGTTGGATAAAACAGATGTTTGTGTGTTCACATATGCTATCTGTAAATGCCAATACATCAAAAGGGTAGGAGGCACATGAATCAGTAAACCTGAAAACCACATAAACCAGAAAAACAACTCCATGGCATGTACCTCATTGTTACCCTATCAGCAATGCCACTGTTACTCATTCCACTAGTGTCTCTAACAGGCACTGAGGTGAGGTTATAAACATGATTAAGATAAGGTCATAATCTTCAACAAAGTCAGTTTGGTAGGAAAGCCAAATGACCACACGAGATCAATTAGACAGAATGAAATAATTTTTAAAATAAGATTAGATGGAAAGAAAATGTATAATTTTGTGGGAAGAGAAGAGGTTTTAGAGTTTAAGAAAATGTATAATTTCATGGGAAGAGAAGAGGTTTTAGAGTTTAATAGTACTAGGTTTATATCTACGCTTGAGAAGTAACTGTTGTATGAACTTGGACAGTTCATAACTCTCTCCAAATATCAGCTTAATTTGTAAAATAGGAATAATATGGCACACATCAAGGGGTTGTCATGAATATTAAAGGGAATGTATGCAAAACATTAACATATCACCTCATCTTTTATATGAACTTAATATAAACTAGTTACAATGATGAAGATGATGAGGAAATATGTATTATTGGAGCTCAAAGGGCAACAGAGAAGAGTTCAGGGCTGGAGGAGTAGCTCAAGCTTTAAGAATGCCTGCCTAGCAAGCATGAGGCCCTGAGTTCAATCCCCAGTGCCACCAAAAAACCCCAAAAACACACACACACACACAAAACCAAGTTCATAGAAGCTTGAAAGTTTGAGTCTACTAACTTAAGTCAAACTTCTAAGGAAACTGTCAAAAGACAATGCAGCCAGAGAAATTACAATAGAAGACAAAGTTATCGTGAAAACATGTAAGATTAGAGTATCACAACAGTTTTACAAAATGGCAATCTACCCCACAAATCTGGGTTTTCTCAATAAACTCAAATGAGGATATTTGAAATAGACCCATAAAAAGGAGTTAAAGAACTACCTTCCAGTCCCTTAACTTGTTCTGTAAATATTTAAAACTGTGGGCTCATATTCAGCCAAACCCTGTAAACAATTTCTTTTGGAGATGAACAAGCATTCACCTACATCACAATAAGTAAAATCTAATTAATTCATGGTGAAAGGAAAAACAAGGCACAAAAAGGGTATGAAGCAACCTTCCTACCCTCCCCCAAAATACTGTGATAATTGAACTCATTTCCCCCTATTTACTCTTTCCCATAATGCCATCTTTGAGAGATAAAAGACTTTTATTCAAAATAACTTTGGTCCATTTGAGGTTGATGAAATAATAATGGTATTGCATAATTATTTAACAATTTTGTTTTTAAGATATTACAACAGGCATTTTTATTTGAGCAAATAATGTGTTCTTACACAATGTACTAAAAAAGCACAGCCTACTGACATTTCCTTCTCAAAAATTCTCTTTAGAAAACATAAAATAATAGTCTGGAATTTTGTTTTGTAAGAAACAACATAGGGAACTACGTTATTTTTGTTTAATCAGTCTATTTCTTCACAAATAAAATTAACCCACAGTTTTAAAAACAACTTTTTAGGGTGTATGTCTCAAATGGTAGGTAAGCCTGAAGCCCTGATTTTAATCTCCAGTACTTCAAAACCAGTAACAAAAAACAAAAAAATTTTTAAAAACTTTTGCCATTCCCCAAAGAAGGAATCATAATATAATACCAACAAGCAAAGTAAACAACTACTGGGGTTCTGAACAGTTAGGTAGTTTTTTTTAAATAAAAGCATCAAAACTTACTTGCACTTTGCCTATTTAAGATAGTTATGATCATCCTAAAAACCAAACTAAAATAAAAGAACCACAGGGGTTCTAAACAGTTATGCTTACAAAAAGCACCAAAACTGCTTTTTTTTTTGTATTTTAAGCATTTTTCTAAAGGATCTTACTTTATTCCTCACTTTAAAAAATTAATTCCCTTGAAAACATCTCTCCAGCCACACATGCTGCAAAAGTCTGCAAAACTGCCATGTTTTTGGAATCCATATTCTTAAGATGTAGCTGAACAGCTGAACATAGCTGGGGAAAAATCATACGACTGTACAGCCACTTTAAATTCACTTATGCATTCAAAACTTATTTATCAAATGCTCTTTAGATCCCAGTCAGTATTTGGGATGCCAAATCTCAAACTTCATATTGATGCTCATTCTATTAATAAAACCTTTTCTCTCCCTCTCATAACTATTTCACTCCTTGTTTTCTCTCCTCAAATGTCTTACCCATTTTCTCCTTTCTTATTCTTAGTCACTGACTTTTTTTCTTTCCTTTTTTTTTTTTAAACCACAAAAGAGACTTCCCTAACCCTTACACCTTCATCCTTGTCAGCATTCTTCCTCCTTCCGGATAGGTCAGTGTCCTCTCCCTACCTAAGGCCAGAGTAGCAATATACATTCTTTATATAATCATCCCCTTTATCTTCTCAGGGAGTTAGTTCCTTCAGTTCTCTGTGTCATCAGTCTTTCCTCCTTTATTCTAATTAGTACTTCCTGTTTCTGTCCTTTAGAGATACAGTTCTCAAAAGAGTTGCCTAAATACAACCCGCAACCACTTCCTCATCACCAAGTATCTGTTTAGTCCACTGCAATATGACTTCTGACTAGACAAATCAAGTATTTTGTCAGGATCACTGAATGACCTCCGTGTTGCCAAATCCAAAGAACACATCTTACTGAACCTCTTAACTTCACTGAACACAAGGAATCACTCTCTCCTTGAAATACTGTTTTTCTTTCTATTTCTCTGGTTACTCCTTTGATAGCTCCAGGAGGAGCCAGATTCCTTTTTGTGCTCTCTTTACACTCTCTCCCTAATGATGTCATTTAGTCACTCAGCCTTAAATAACCTCTCCATACTGACAATTCTCTTTCTTTCAAAAGCAAATGCTATTCCACATGACTGCTTTATGAATATTCTGCAAAAATAATCAGGCTCATAGCCTGATTATCTTCTTCCTATAAATCACGTAAAAACCTAGTGGTGGCACCTACAATCCTAGCTACTTAGGAGCCAGAGATCAGGAGGGTCACAGTTTGAAGCCAGTCCTTGGCAGACAGTTTGAGAGACCCTATCTGGGAAAAAATATCATCACAAAGGGCTGGCTAAGTGGCTCAGAGGTAAGAGCACCTGTGTGGCCCCCAGTGTCACCAAAAATCCCCCAAAAGCAAACAAATAAACAAAAAATCCAGAAGTGAACTAACTTGAATAATGTCACACTTAGTGACAAATCTAGAGGAAGACCCTAAATACTGGGTGGTCTTAATAATAGTGTGGAACATGCAA